TTTTTTTGCCCGCTCTGTTTTTAAGCCACTTGGGCTGAGTGAGAAACACTCACGGATAGAGGAACGAGAGAGAGAGAGAGAGAGAGATGCTGATGAGCTTGCTAGTCTAGGTCCTGACGCCATGGTGCCAGTTGGAGAGATGCCATGAGTCACGCGAGCCTTGCCTTGAAGTACAGGCTACAAGCTGCACACGGCCCATACCACAAGTAGAAGGGTTGTGAAGGTGCCTTCTATAGGGCACCCTGACCTCATTTTGCCTGGAGCTTCTAATATGTTAGTTATGGGCCTCTCAGAGCTCCCAGTGTACTAGTACTGGGCTGTGAACTGGTTCCTCGATCATCCCCTTGCTGTCAAGTCTGTTGCATCAGAAGCAGCTGATTTTGGGGCCTTGTGCGCGAAACAAACCATGGACCAGCTGCCACTGAAGTATGAATGACTGTAATAGTCATTCCAGTCCAGCAGTGTCTGACGGTCAGAGGCATGAGTGTATGGGACACACATATAAGACAAATGGCTTGGAAATTTCAGTAAAGCTGCAGTTAGCATCTTATTGAAAGCACCTTCTATTTGAACCTGTTTAACTGCAAAAAAAGATGCACTTTTATCCCAAGTTAGGCTGTGCAATATAACTCAATCTTGTAAGTTATGTTTGTGTGGTATCATGATGTTATTTTCAGGTTCATGTTCTATTGCTTAATTATTATAACTCATTATAATTAGTTCAAACATTGCACCATTGCAGTTGAATCACCCACTAGATGACTGCACACGTTTACACTCTAAGTTGGACCTGCTTAGCAGAGAGGTGGTAGCAAATGTAGGCAATGACACACCTAGGCCCATATGGCTCATGTGCAGGAGTGCTGATCTGGGATCAGTTCTCCAGATGTTGCTATATAATCAGGGAAAGGGCAAAATCTAATCCTATATCTGGACTCTCAGTCTAAAAGGTTTTGTCACATATAACCTCTCGTCTGGGAAGCGGCTTGAGAGTTAAGCCACTTATCTTTAAATGGACGGCCTTTGCAATGAGGTGGCGTGTACATGCTCTGAAATGCAATGAAAGAAAGAGAAGGGCTTTGCAGAGAGAGCAAGGTCTGATGAAGGTGATTTCTAATGCAAAAACCATGACTCATTCAGCACAAGTGTCAAAACAGAAGGCCTGCTGCTTTAGCCAGATCTTTCTATGTATTGGCCATGTAAAAGATATTTGGTAACAGTCTACTTGGTAACACTTTACTGTTGAGCAGTGTTCATAAGGCTACATGACAATTACATAAGCCATTCATGACAACTGACATAAGCTAATAAAAACATTTATAAAGGCTTTTTGCAAGCAGCAGTTGTCATGAAGGCTGCTTTTGAATACTTCGATGTCAAGTTGACATAACATCTATGTTAAATGACAGGTTTTTGTTGATATTAGATTGTGTCATAACAGTTTCTGGGGAGAAATGACAGCATTTTAGGTGACCTTTTAGTGTCATTGTGTCCATTTCACAGTCCATCTCCTGTTTCCTATAGTGTCCATTTCTCCTGGATTTCTTAAAATACTATACTGGGCTGGGTTTCTCAAAAGTACCTTACCTTACAAACATGTAAATGGTAGAGTGAGTATTACACTGAACACTCTCTCTAGTAGTTAAGATGATCTTAACTCTAAGATGCTATTGAAAAACCAGGCCCTGGACTTTTTAATCCTGACAAAATAACCCAAGTCGTTCCCGAAGATGACATAAAGTGGCCTGAAACTATCCTACATTAAGGTAGTTTTCCATTGGGAACTGACTATTGTGAAAGCAATTCCTAACAGCACCTCTACAGCAAAAGAGATAGGGAAGACGTGACTCCATGAAGCAGGTGTTTTGTGTGCCAGAACATTCAGCAAAAAACGATTACTCAGAATATTCAGCGAAAAACTGCTCATTTTACTTAGGAGCCAAATGAAATAAAACATAGAAAACTCATTTTAGTGCTTAGACACTCTAATAATGATTCATAAAGATCTTATAAGAATATGACACTCGCTTTACTGAATGGGCAGAAAGAACTCTGTTACCTTCACAGTATGACTATAATACAGTAGATTTTCATTCCAGTGTAACCACAGAGTGTCAAAGAGTACATAGCTTTGTTTTTTTTTTTTGTTTTTTTTTTCAACCAGCCTCAGTTGTCAAGTTGTGTAACATAATCACCATTAGGTATCTAATATACCAAAACTACACTGAGCTAGAAAGTCAGTTTTCATTACACAGCATTGTCCTAACACAGTGTCAGCAAAATCCAACACTAGAGTTGACTGGAGTATATACACACCGATCAGGCATAACATTTTGACCACCTCCTTGTTTCTACGCTCATTGTCCATTTGATCAGCTCCACTTACTATATAGGTGCACTTTGTAGTTCTACAGTTACAGACTGTAGTCCATCTGTTTCTCTGAATACTTTGTTAGCCCCCTTTTACCCTGTTCTTCAGTGGTCAGGACCCCCATGGACCCTCACAGAGCAGGCACTATTTGGGTGGTGGATCATTCTCAGCACTGCAGTAACACTGACGTGGTGGTGGTGTGTTAGTGCGTGTTGCGCTGGTCTGAGTGGATCAGACACAGCAGTGCTGCTGCAGTTTTTAAACACCTCAGTGTCACTGCTGGACTGAGAATAGTCCACCAACCAAAAATATCCAGCCAACAGCGTCCTGTGACCACTGATAAAAGACTAGAGGATGACCAACACAAACTATGCAGCAGCAGATGAGCTATCATCTCTGACTTTACATCTACAAGGTGGACTGACAAGGTAGGAGTGTGTAATAGAGTAGACAATGAGTGGACACAGTGTTTAAAAACGCCAGCAGCACTGCTGTGTCTGATGCACTCAGACCAGCGCAACACACACTAACACACCACCACCACGTCAGTGTTACTGCAGTGCTGAGAATGATCCACCACCCAAATAGTACCTGCTCTGTGAGGGTCCATGGGGTTCCTGACCACTGAAGAACGGGAAAGGGGGCTAACAAAGTATGCAGAGAAACAGATGGACTACAGTCTGTAATTGTAGAACTACAAAGTGCACCTATATAGTAAGTGGAGCTGATAAAATGGACAATGAGTGTAGAAACAAGGAGGTGGTCATAATGTTATGCCTGATCAGTGTATATATAACATATATAGGTAATATAGGTTTATATGATTGTCATGTACCCTTATCAACACCAATCTACACTAAAGTGTTACCGTATAGTTTAACTGTGCTACATAACATAAATGTCATGCCAGATGGTATATGCTGTCATCACACTTTATTCTGTAATATAACACATTACACATTACCATTACTGGCAGTTGCTATGATGTCATAATGTTTGATGTCATGACAGCTAATATCACATGCTATTTTTTGCTCAGTGTACTCTAGTTAGCCATCATGGCATCATATATGATGAGATATGTCATGAAAATCTTCATTACAGTAACAGTAACATTACTAGACATAACCTGCCATGACAACTCTTGACACTAAATAACATCTCCTATAACATGTTTATGGAACGGTTATGTCAGGTCCAAGTAAAGTTAATAGACATTTTGACCTCTACAGGAATCTGTCTGGATTTTGGTCTTGTATTTGATACTGTTATGAAGAAAAAAACTGACAACTAGGAAAACTGCACTAGTTGAAATGGCTCACAGAGTTGTCTTCTAATATCAGTTTATTTTTGACACTTCATACAAACAGCATCACACATGACGTTGATGTTTCATGCTCTGTATAACAAGCTCTGACAATCTCACAAGATCTGTGTGACTCAACTGGGATTCTAGAAGCAAAGTCCTTCAAATGTGGGCTAGGATACACATCATGTGTTTCCTTCCTATTAAATATGAACACTCACTCATAAAGCATCTTTCACTGTGAGTTTACAATATTTGAAGATGGGAACATTCTGCAATGAATCCCATTTGTTTTCCATAGAAAGCTTGTCATAAGAGGCCATGTGGTGAATGACACTGAAAAATCTGAGTAGAGCTGACTATTGTGCCTGAAACATTCTTATTGTTTCTCAGTTGCTCATAAGAAGCACATTTGATAAGGAATAAGAATAAGCAACTGTGCAAAAGCCTGTACATTCATACACAACAGCTATCCCTCCAGATTTCAAAATCCAAATGGGAAAACTAGAGATCGAAGATTGCATTGGAATCATAACAATTTGTGGGCAATATGGCGATATTTGAATGTTATCGTGATAAATTTTGTTATCGTGAGAATGTGATTTCTGAGCATATCCTGGATATTATCAGTATTCAAAGAAAAGTGTTCAAGTACATGTTTCATTGCAAAGACAGCATAATTAGTCCTGTTTAACTGGATTTGGTGGAGTGCAGTATGTAAAATGTTGAGTAATAATCATTATATTTATGCTATGTGATTTTATTTGCCATTTTTTCTGCATGCCAAAATATTTTGATACATGTCATATATCATGAAAATGTCCTTTAAATATCATCATATACTATTTTTTTTTCCATATTGCCCATCCACATCAACAAATATGTGCTTTAAATAATATAATTAGTCATGTAGATGTTTAGATTTGAACAATATTTCAAACTGATACATAAACATATTGACATATGTAAACTGAATATTGGCATCTGCCCATAATTCCCATATCAGTGCACCTTTGGTATAATGGTAATCACATTATGAAATAACTGATGTTGACTACAAGTGCTAATCAATTTTGACCTCTGTCCCCAAACCAGAGAATGTCCAATTTTAACCTAATCAATGTTTCTGAAAATATTTAATTGATCTAATGATACATACAACATTGACTTTATGAATGTTTTAAAATTTTGTGTTGTTATTATGTTTTCAGCCACATTAACTGCCATGTGTGCAAGTTTTCTATGAAGATTTGCAAGGACATGATACTGGAATCACTTAGAGGATCAACATACAAGGCATAATGAATATCACTGTACACTCACCCTGTCTTAGCAAAATTTGTCCAGTAGGTCATCACCACTGCACTGAGCATGACATCATTCTTGGAGAAATTGCAGTTGAACAGATCCGTCGGACCGATCATAGGGATTCCGAACACGTATGGCACCTCGTCTCCGTGTGCCGAGTCGGCCCAGCTCGGTTTCATCTCACTCTGGCAGTGGTGGTAGAAAGCGTAGAAATACGTTGGTGATCCATACTGTGCATGAAGATCTGCTGTGGCTACCGCAGGCGCCACCCACTGGTGATCCGTAAATAACGCAACCAAAGTCTTGCGCCTGGTCTCTGGATTCTCCTTGTCAGCCCAATCCGTGTACATGAACTTGATGGTTTCGCGGAGCGTATCCTTACCCTCAGGGTAACCGTACAGGTGGTCCACAAAATCAGACACGGCAAAATCGAAGTCGTTTGCGGAGACGCCATCCTCACTGTCCACGATTCCATCCACAAACTTAAAACCCTCCCCCTGGTTGACTCCCAACATGATGTCGTAATTGAGGAACTCGCCTTGCTCCATGAGAATCTGCGGGTCGTCTGGGATGACGTCGCCATCTATAACTGGTCCGAAAGCAATATGGTATTTTGCTTGGGTGATGTATTGCTCAATAAGCTCCTTGTGGTTCTTCTTCTGCAAGCACTCCACCAGATCTGTAGTGTCTAGCATGTTGCAGCCCACCTTTTCTGCTAGCATACGTGTGTACTTGGCTGGCTGGTAGTTGACGGCCCAGCTGGACAAAGCAGTTCCGCTCTGGATGATGGCTTTCTGAAATAGATCTGGAAAGAGGAAGAAGAAACCCATTAGTGCGCTCAGACCACTTTGCTGAAAGCAAAAGAAGCATCTGCACAACCTTTAGCAGTGACGCTGTATTATCGTTAACAGGCCACATACAAACCAGGGCAATGAGAGAAGGTATGTAAGGATTAGTGCCAATTACAGCAAATTGGATTTGAAATTAAACAATGTCTATGAGGTTAAACAGCAGAATGTCAGCTTTAATTTGTGAGTATTTACATCTACATTGGCTGAACCACAGAGAAAGCACAGCCCTTTTTATACGTGGACCATAGTCCCATATTTCTGGATACCATAAATAATGCAACATTCAACTGCTTGGTTGCTTGTCATCCAGCCGTGTGTTGTAGCATCATTAGCTCATACATGGGAGCTAACAAAAGATCAAGAGCCTAGAATCTAGAATTTGCTGTTATATCTCAACATGAAGACCAAAGAAGTGTCAATGCCAGCAAAACAGTCCATCATAAGACCGAGAAAACAGTAACAAATCAATAACAAAGCCAAAAACATACTATACTACCTTAAAAGGAGGAATACAACAGCATGATCTCAGAAGGCTGGCCACAACTTTTACTAAACCTTAAGAAGGAAAAAAGGCAAATCAAAGTTTAAAAAAAAGTGACTTCTTATAGGCTGTTAAGAGAAAGATTAACCTATACCATGCATGACTTTGGGCATGTATGGATTCTTGTCGAACTGTTTCACCTCTTTACTAATGATGTTACTGCTAACAGCAGCAGGAAAATGAATTCTAAAGTTTACAGAAGCATCTACAGAAGCTCAGACCCAACCAATGACCTCAAAACTCAGTGGATAGTCCTTCACCTTGCAGCAGGACAATGCTCTCAAGCATACTACTAAAGCAAACCCGGACTTGTCATGAGTTTTCAAGGCCAACAGTGAATGTTCTTGACTGACCTTAACTCAACTGAACACACACACAAAGACAAGACTGAAGGCCTTCAAAACAGGCATAAACTAGGAAGATACCACAGGGAAGATATCCAGCAACAGGCCATAACAAACCAGGACAATGAGAGAAGGTATATAAGGATTAGTGCCAATTACAGCAAGTTAGATTTGAAATAAACAATGTCTATGAGGTTAAACAGCAGAATGTCAGCTTTAATTTGTATGTATTTACATCTACATTGGCTGAACCACAAAGAAAGCACAGCTCTTTTTATATATGGACCATGGTCCCATATTTTTGGAGACCGTAAATAATGTTGGCTAGTTGTGTGTTGTAGCATCATTAGTTCAAACATGAGAGCTAAGAAAAGGTCAAGAGCCTAGATCTAGCATCTTTTGTACATACAACCCCAACCTAACCCTAACTCAATCTCAACATGAAGACCAAAGAAGTGTAAAGGCCAGCAAATCAGTCTGGCATCTAGTAACGTCTATGGGTAGCTAGTCTTTTAAGTCAGACTTACGACTTTAATCAGAGTCTGATGCATTTCATAGCTTTCCACGTCCAAGAACAACTTACTTTGACAGGAAAGGGTTGTTTGACCATCATGCATAAATAACCAACCACAGAGTGTTGTTTTTTTATGTGTAGCAATAGGTGATTTTCTAAAAAGGGGCTACAAAAATATCAAACCATTCAGTATAATCCTCAGCAAACATGCCAGCATATTTTGCTTCAATTATTCAAAGAAAAACTTGAGTAACGTCTAAACATGTAATGTCATGAACTTCACAAACTGTTTTGAATGCAGTGACTATATCTAACATTTCACAGAAAGGCTCATATTGTCATGCTAGGCAACTGCTTGGAAAAGTGTGTTTCCCATCACATTGAGAAAACCTGCTGCATGGAAGTGCATGATTGGCTTGTCATTCAGAAAGGCACTGACAAAATCACAGTAGTGGCCCATTTAGTCTACGATAGATATCAGATGCTAGGAGTATGTGTGGGTGGAGCATCTCAGGCGGAGACTACTGAGTAGTTTTAGACTATTAAGGCAGTCTTTGACTAAAATTTGTGACCAATTATATGATAGGAGGAGTATGTATAAAAACTCTTTCATGATCTTATGATCTAATTATGATCTTAAAAGATCTTAAACATCTTACAGTTCATCCAAAATGAATTTTATGTGAACGTCAATTGGAAATTATAATGCATTTCCCTTCTGTACTGTGATGTATGTCTAAATAAAGGGCAGTATTTGGCAAGGTCTCTGAACTAGCCCAGCAATTCCCTTGATGATAGGTGGGGGTGGTGAGAGGTGAAAGGGGGAGGTGAAGCATTAAACTGTTGGTTAATATTGTTTCCCTGGGTTATTGATGTACAATGGTGTAATTATACTACTATTTGATCAAAAATGACAGGAAAACAAGACATTTGTCATTTGTTCTCTTGATACAGTAAGAAGAATCATGCTTAACACTGCCAGGAACATGAACTAACAAGGTCTAAAAGGTCAATGTTAACATCTGGTTGACTTTGAGTGCATTGCTGAATTAACACTGATATTCTGGACTTTAACCTCACATCCAATCACATAGTAAGCAGATGCTGCCTGTGATTTCTTTGGAGATTTATTTATTTATTTATTTTTCTTTTTAAACCTGTAAGAATTTCTTGGGATACTTCTTTCTTTGTGTTGCATGACTGGAAAAAATAAGTCTCATAGGCATGACTCCATTATGCCATTCTTGCCAAATAGAGGAACCAGACGGAAATTAAAGAGCATGACAACGTTTTGTAATGACGCTTGGGGCAACGTCCCCATCGTGAACATTTTTTGGGGAGAAGAATTATTTTTTTCCCTGATTTGCCACTCTGTAAATAGGCCAGAGCACACCAGGAACTCTGAGTGTGTGTGTGTTTGTGATATTTTGCCCATACTTTCTATTTTTATCCTCTCAGAAGCTTCAGTGACTCAACCAGGGCAATATGAGGAGTCTATTCAGCACCAAGTTACCGTCTCCATTATGACTGGTTAGCACAGCTCCCTTCATTTTCCTCGCCTGCACTTAGTATTCAGGAGAAAGAACATCGCCAAACACCTGACGCAGATGCTAACCGAGACACATAAGCCTCTGTGTCGTACCTCTGTCAGTCCAGCCACGCGTGGCAGCAGATTCGTGCCACAGACTGTGTCCTACAAAAAAAGACGGCACCTTGGGGCATGGAACTGACTAGGCCTGACTGAGGCATATGATTCAGTGACACAGAAGGAAAAATAGCCCTTGCTCCATTCTACATTCTCAGAAATGCAGAAAGAAAAAAGAAAGGAAGGGATGAAAGCAGAGTCACTACAAGAAAAATGCCTGACTATGCATGACTGACAATTAGTTGCAAGTGGACATGGCAAGTTATTCTTATCGCATGAGAGAATAAATGAAAAACAGCCATCAGCAAGTTCCACCAATAAATAAAGAAATAAGCATATGATAGATTCCTTTGCTTGCTTTTATAACGTTGCTGTCCTAACCTAACCTTGTTGTGATTTACTAGGAGGCACGAACTACCGACCGTCTATAGCAGTGTTTCCCAGTTCTGGTCCTGGAGGCCTACTGCCCTGCTTTAACCTAAAAAAAGGTTAAAGACTAAATAAGATTAAATAATTGAAGTATCTGATTGTTTCATAAATATCACAGTGTATACTTTTTTCAGATAAAATTAGTTCAGATACCTGTAAACCTATTTTGGTAGGTTTACAGTGGCTTATTATTCTGGAATGTCCTTTCATTTTTAATAAGAACCATTTTTAACAACCAAAGTAAATCTGAAGCACTTCTCAATATTGTTTTCTAAGAGTAGCTTCACTGGCAAAATGTCTGAATTTCTTCAAGGCTGAAGATTGGCTTCTTATTTGTCAGATTTTTCTTAGAATTTTCTGTTCCGCCTTAAATTGAGCAGCGACACATTCTGGCACCTGTACAGCCGCCTGAATATCACTGCTTTGCCATTTAAGGTGAAAAAGGAAATTTGAATAAGAAGACAACTTCAGCTTCATCAAATTTCTTAAGTGATTTGTCTCATACACTCATGTCTCCGACTGTCAGACACTGCAGGAATTTGGAAAGTATTTCAGTCATCTAAGCTCTCAGTACAAGCTGGTTAATGAGTTGTTAACTCAAGGCCACAAAACCTCGGCCTCATCTTCTCATGACTTCACAGGCTGTACGAGAGGAGTCTGTGTAAGGTGTCTATGCTAGGCTAAGGCTAACCCCCAAAATCCAGCCATTCCTTTATGTCCACTGCCTCAAAAACAAAGTGCACTACTTCAGATGCAGCGGATAAGACAGAGGGAGGTGATTGAGGGTCATATTTTAATTTGAAACATCCCTGATTCAGTCATTCAGCTAAATGGAATAACACTAGCATGGTTTGCACATTATCTTTGCTTTTTGTGGCATACTAGTATAACGGTTCTGACTAATGTGAGAATATATATCCACTACTACTTTAACCAACCCACTTCAACTCAGTGAGGTGTTGTTAATGAGGTGATTAGTTGGATCAGGTGTGTTCAGAGCAGTGGATCTGCAGAGCCAGAGTTGAGACACACTAATCTACAGATTGTTTGCGCTGGTCAACGTGGCCAATTTAGCAGGTTATTTTTATGCCAATAAGTACAGGTACAACTTTGTAATTAACGTATGACTGGTTCAATAAAAACTCATTTCACTCAAATCCTTTTTGCATCAAAGCCCATTTCCACCAGGTAATAGAATAACTGTGACTGTTTTTGTCTGTCCATAATTTTTCACCTCAAAATAATGATGTTTTCTCAATGTTTGACTGACTAAGCCAAAATAATGACTTATTATGTCAAAATAATTACTAATTCTCAGGTGATTTAGTATGAGTTTTATAATTTCACATACTGCTGCCCGAAACAGGGGGGAAAACAACAGGCATTTTCTTTTAATTGGCAGAAATGGGCTTCCATTTTGTTGAGGGAGGCATCTCTACAGGTTAAAATATAGCACTTAATCATCAAGTCAGTTTTTACTATCAGCCTTAGTAAAGTGGAGGAGGTGTTTTATTATAATGATCTCATCCCAGTATTTTGTGCTTTGAGAGGAAAACTACAATAAATTCATGTGCAAAGAAGCAAAAGTGTAAAAGAGCAGCTGCCGTTTCGATCTTATCATCGGCACTAAAGAGCTGTTGTGCCTATTTAGTAAATCTGTTCTCTTTTTTGTGCCAAAATAGGGTTACTGGATCTCCAAAATGCTTACCTAACAGGAGAAAGAATAAGATTGTAATTCTGTACCGGTGGCGTTTGTATTGGTCCATTCATCATGAAATGTAAACTCAAGGTAAAAGCCAGCTGTCATTCTCATATAATGTATTAAAATATTCAACAAGTTGGAATTAGATGATATTGATATGCTATGTATGTGTTAAATACACAAGTTCATTTTCAAAAGAGTTAATGACATTAAATGGTAGTCCAACAACCCTTAGAACCAAAGGGATATCTGTAAGAACATCGGCAGCCGGAGCGGCAGGTGAAATGATGTGCTTTTATGGCAGTAAGTGCTTTTCACAGTTTGCATTATATAATTCAGAATGCATTCATAAATCATAGCTGACCCTTTCAGACAAGAACACCAGGGAGTACAGTGCATCTCGTCCATGTTATTTTGATTAAGTCTGTCACATCCTCCATCCAGATTGAATTGCAGGTTCTGGAGAGGAGGAACTGTTGCTGGAGGTCATTTGATCCATTACGAGATTCAGCTCCAATCTGAGCTGTTCTTTTCCAGGTAAGTGTTTCACAATCATCTTGAGGTTTTTTTACATACATCAAAAAAAACAGACTGCAGGCCTTCATTCTTTGTCAGGGCACAAGCAACTGCAGCTTCTACTGTTTAAAGAACGACTAGGACTTTTGTAGTTCCTGTATCCCCCCATTTAATACTCAAGTCAAGCACACTTCATAATACCCTTATTGTTCTAATGTGATAATCCTCACTTTAAAGTGTTATGCCTGAGTCTCATGTGACATTACTGTGGCCATGTGACCATGAGGCTGTTTTCATGACCAGGAGAATCAAAATGCCTTTAGTGTGTTAGACAACAGACAGGAGAAAAAAATCTTAAAAAGTTTGTTATATTCTAACTGAAGCTAAAATATATGAAATAGGGCATTTTAATCACATCAGTTCTACAAGTAATATCTATAATATTAACATTTAAAGTTACAAGTCAACTAATCAAGTTAGTATACAAGTCCACACAGTTCATTCAAAGCAATTCCATGGCAGAACCACCCTTGATTGCCTAAAGAACTGTACAGTGCTCTGCAGGTTCTGGGGAGGAGGAACTGTTGCTGGAGGTCATTTGATCCATTATGAGATTCAGCTTCAATCTGAGCTGTTTTTGTTCCTCTGGAAGATTAGTTTTGTATGAGCATCTCAAGCATGTTGCCTCAATGGGCTGTTTTTTTTTTTCATACACCATAAGAACTAGACTTCAAGGCTAAATTCTTTGTCAGGGCACAAGAAACCTCTCCTGTTTGATGTATGAGTAGGTGGTAAAGAATGACTAGGACACAGCTTTTGTAGTTTCTATAACCAGCCATAAAATTAGTGGCTCTCTGTATCAAATATGATATGCAATCTAAATATAATTTGATGAAAACTATATTGATCATAATAAAGATCATTAGTGAAAAGAGACTGTGACAAACAATGGCAAATTTATTGTTGACTACAAAGTAGAACAGCAAATATGGCAAAAATGCCAAAAATATTGTCACTGTCAAGTCTTTGTATCTCCATTTTTAGCATTCTTTACTTTATTGCAATATTTAAAAATTCCTGTTACTCTTTGCATTGTGTGCTAATTCTATGGTATATATATATATATATATATATATATATATATAGCATTGATTAATTTTATTAAGACTAACCCCACCATGTGGAGGTTGCACTTTAGCCTGGGTATCTCTCACTGTGAGCTATTTATGTGTTTCAAAATGATGCCATTAATAGAGCAATTAAAATAATACAAGTGTGAAAATTCTTACATTTATACACACAACTTGACTGAAAAACTGTTACTTTTATGGTACAAAAACTTCAGGTTGAATCTTGAGAAATATGTGTGTGATTGCTGTCAAAAATTCATACATGGCATTGTTATGGTGTTACAAGAACATGAATAAAAGCAGGTTCTACTTAAAATTGGTTTAACTACTTAAAATATCCATGTTATTTTTTTGGTTATGTTAGTTTGTGCCTTGCTTTCCCCTAGTGTTCATGCCTGAATGGGAAACAAACTCTGGTACCCTTGTGTTTAAGTCAATAATTATAAGGACCTATACGAAGTTCATTAAACCTCATACTATAAAAATAAAGTACCTCATAAATTATTTACAACAAAAATAACATTATCAATCTCTTTACTTGAAGCACTGTGAAGGCATTGTAAATGTTTAAAATGTTTTTTTTGTGATTGCTAATATATATTATAAGTGTTTTATAATTATGCACAAATCATAATCAGTTTAAAAGGCACTATAGTGAACAGTCGCACTTGTGTTACTACATGTTCACGAGTCACCAAATAATTAATCATAGTTTGCTATTTGAGCTTTATGAAGCATTACTCGAGTTTATAAACATACTTACAAAGTCTTGTTACAAAGAGTTATAAGCATATTTATAATGGCTTATGAATACAGGACTTCACAGAAACAGTTACCAACAAATAAGGTAACTAGATGTTCTAAAGAAACATGTCTCTGACATAACTACTAAGCTGGTTCTGGCTTATCTGCCTGAATCAAACAAAGCTAAACAGTTGAAAATATGATTTGACCCTAAAATCTGGTTCTTTGGTCAGTAAGTTATGGCTATTAAGACCAAAAAAAATCCTACTAAAACATGTGTGTGTGTGTGTGTGTGTGTGTGTGTGTGTGTGCGTGTGTGTGTGTGTGCGTGCCGCCACAGTAAGAACAAGGCCATTTCCCCCGTTTGAAACCATTCATTGCCACAGAAGGAAAGTGTATATGGCAAAATTTCTAGACCACAGAACCCAAAAACATCAACAAATAACACTTGATGACAGTCTTAAAACCTCTGAGCTATTGCTTTGAACAATGACAAAAACAATAGCTTGAAAAGTCATAACCGAATGTTACGTACCCTCTGAATAGTGCGACAAGGTCAGCAGACTAACGCATGATGCCCCAGCCCCTGATCCGAATATCGTCACCCTTTTTGGATCTCCTTTGAAGGCCTGGATATTCTCTTTGATCCACCGCAATGCCTGAATTTGGTCCAGCAGACCATAATTCCCTTTGGCAGCCTGGTCACCTGTGCTCAGGAACCCTGTTGGCATAGAAAATAAGAATAACCCGTTAGGAAATCAAAGGACAGGAAATCTTCTGTCTTATCTGCAGTCAGGTGCTTTTCTATCTGTGATTACATTGTTCATGTCAATTACAAATCCAAGGTTGTGGAGCATGTAGCATGTACGTGTTTTGGTATCTGGTAATCCATTAATACATGTTTGATTGTGAATCTCCTTTTGCCTGTGCAGGCCTCTATGGGCTGTTTTTAATCAAGAAGAACAAAGAAGGATTGAGAAAGAGGTTGATAACATTCATAGTTCCCCATGTCAAACTGATTTAGCTTAGACATCAATTTATGTTAGAACATGCACATTACAACAAAAATACATCAAGATATGTTATTTCTTTTGCAATTCTCTGGATCACAGGAAAAAAATATACATGTGCTCTTGTTTTCCTGGTGCATAAGCTGTAAAACAAGATAATATTAAAAGGTCTAAAATATACTAGCATTTAATATGTCATTGTGTTTTCATCCATCAGGGTTTTCGTATCACAACACTCTGCATGCAAATACATCACACAGCCATTTAGAAAACTTTCAAAGATTAATAAATTAAACTGACTAATCTGGAGGCTAATAAATACATCTGCTAGCTAGCATTAATGATATAGCACTAATCTCAATTGGTCAAACGTTTTCTTTGTTAAAGGAATAATCTAGTTGAAGAATTAGTCAGCTGCCAAAAAATAAATAACTAAAACAGACTGCCCCCTGGTGTCCACCTTGAAGCATGTGTTTAAAAATTTTATCGTCAACAGATGCGGCAATATTTACATTTTAAAATATTTTTTAAAGTGTCCCTTTAAGTGAAAATATGGCTACTGTTACAACATTTTACACAATTAAAAGTATGGAAGTAATGAAAACTAATAAACTCATTTCAAATAGCTGTGAAGTAACCAAACATGTGGCCAAAACATGAATTCCTTTCTTGTAGTCTACAGAAGGGGCGAAGCATTCAGACAGTCAGATGGCCACAGCCATGGAAAGTGCTCTTAATAAAGATGAATACATGACAATGAGAATGACTGAAGGCAAGTATGACATGAGGCAGTCATTTTCAATCATGATTATTGCAGATCGAAACCAGCTATGCAGGACTGCGGGTGGGAGCGGGATAAAATATTTAGGTTGCGGACAGGGACAAGACAAGGGTCCAGTGGTGACTGATTGAAGATACAAGTCCTCACCCATTGACAGATGTTTCAATGTTAGATGTTTTACTAAACTCAAATGCAACACATTTCAAATGACTGGCAGGAGAGAAACAGAAAAATCTGCAGATCTTTATGATTAAATAGATGAAAATGTAAGGAGAAAAAATGTTTTTTCTCATGGAAATGCAATTGAGGTCAAGCTTTGATTTTCAGTAATTCTCAAGAAAAGAACAAATCTTCCAAAATAATTCTTAAATATTATAGTACAGTTAGTCAAGTATTTCCACCCTGTCTTACCTCACTTTAGACCGGAAAACGTAAGGCCAATCAATTGAAAGCTTATCGTTAGTGGTTCACTCTATTTGCCATTTCGTTGTCTGTATGGCCTGTATGGAGTGTGGGGTGCCAACTGTGGCATTTGTGCTGTAACACGTCTACACATGTAGAATAAATTGGTCTTTAATAATCGCAAAAGCACTCCCCAACCCCCCTCCCCCACCCCCAGAGACCCATCACAGCAGCAGATGCGATATGGTATGAAAAGTAATCCTAAAACAGGCTCTTAATGGAACTGCAGCATTGCTCTGTGTAGAGGGCACTAATGGCTGCCCTAATAATCTCCCCACTATTTTACTTCAGCCCCCGTTCTCTATTTCTGCCTTTTCACAAGGGCCCCATCTTCTTGAGAACAGGATCAAAAAGGCCCCACTTCTGGGCTGAGATGTGCTTTCAGGCACAGAGAACAGTTAAAGGTGGTGTTCTGCACTTTAATGGGGTTATTTGGCGGTCTTTGTGGAAAAGGTGAAGGTTACTTCCATTTTAATTTCAGTAGTTTTTGGCTGCTCATTTGGAATTTCAATGCGAAAGTGCCCTATTTACTGCTGTGTTTAAAGTAAGTCATTCAGACGACACAAAAAAATGACTCTTTGGCAGCGACCTTTGTGAGATCCTCGCTATGAAGAAGAAATACAGCTCAATTAGAATTATAATGAACTCTTGGAATGGCAAGATCTTTTCAGTCCTCTGGCTGTTTGACAGGAGGCTTTTGCCATTCCATGGATGCCTCTTCTTTCTCGAAAAAAAGGACTTAGAACCTGAAGCAAAAATCCCCTCCCTAGAAGACTTCAAATAAACCCCATTGCACTGAGCGGCTTGAAGCTTGCTCACTAAACCCCCAAAACAAGATTGCCAATGAGCGCAAAATTGCGACTTGTTGACAAATTAGCCAACTGGTTTAAACCCATTAGCGAGACCCTGGAGCAGGCTCGAGTGTGTCTGCTTCATTCTCTTGGCCAGGCTTGGATCTCCGATCCCAGCCACTGGCAAAGGCTGGGTCCTCGATACCCCCTCTAGAGGTCTGGTCATGGACCACAGCAGCTCAGGACAAATAGGATAAGAAGCATGGGTAAGAAGGGGGCTAGCCCCATGGCTCTACGATTGGGGGCAGATCCAGTTGGTCATGCCCGCATGGAAGGAACTAGCTGAAGGCAGAGGGATTACAAAAGGCCTGGCAGCATTAGACACTCTAACGGATAACCCAAGGCCTTGACTGGATCCAGGACACCTACAGGGACAGCCTGAAAGGCAGCGAGATTTGATCTTCATATTTTACTAAGAGCATTGATCTTGGTCTTCTGATGTTGGTACACAAAACACACAACTTGTTTTTATGAGTCAAATGTTCTAATGATATTCTTTTTAAGTTACATGGCTTGATGAGACACTCTTAAAAATAATTTTGCCAAAAAGGGCTCTCTGGAGGAGATGACATAGAATGGTCCTCTGAAGAACCTTTCAATTGCATGATATTAATTGTATTTCTTACAGAGCCATCCTCTGAAAGGTACTTTAGGGCAGGGTTTTTTAAATCAGGGCTCCCCCTAGATGTTCTACATTTTTTGTTGTGAGCTGGGAAAGAGCCAAAACGTGGATTGTTCGGACAAACCACTGTTAGGGAACCACTGCTTTTGGGAAACCAAAAGTGGTTCTTCTATGGCTTTTTTCCAAAGAAAGCATTTCTGGCACCTTCATTTCTAAAAGCAAAGCAGTCCAGTCTGGAATCTTCCACATGGCTAGCTAAAGTTTTCTAGAAAGTTCTCCAGTGTTTGGTCAGATATTCCAGAGCATTCTAAAGTTCTAGGTTGGATACTACAGAGCATTCCGCAGGGTCTGATGCAGTCCCTGGTGTGGGGATTAAAGCTGAACCTTGATCAGCTCCCTGCTCCCATCTCACCAGCTCACGCTAATCTCTGTCCGTATTAAAAAATGAAGCCAGCAGAGTAGCGAGCACAATGTAGGCCGCTCCCTCTAAACACCCGGGACAGATCAGTAGGTGGAGTGACAGTGGCATCAGCATTTCAGTCGGCCACACAGCTAGCCATCGTTCCTAACACCTCAGTCTCGACGTCTGACACACTGCATCTGAATGCATGAGTCGGGTGTGAGTGTGGGCATATTACTGTCACCAGCAAAGCATGAACGACACAATTATGCAAGAACAACAGTCTCTCTCCAGAGCTAGACGGAGGTTTTTATGACTTGTTTGGGGGTGTTTACAGCTTTTCGCTTAGCGCAAAGTAAACAAGAAATGAAGAGGTATGAGGACAATAAAGGTTTGTCAAGTAGCAATGTTTTCAAAGCCTGGTCTACAAATATGACCCAAAAGCTCTGTATAAGGGATACAAATGCAAGACAACTCCAGTGGGATGCACAAATAACGGCGTATATATGTGTGTTTCACTTCACTGTATATGCCCCTGTCTTTTCCCAGTGGCTATTAAAGTACTGGTCTCAAAAATCTGCTGATATTACATCACAATGCATGATAATGTAGCTCTATGTAACACCATCCTCAGCCTTTCAGAAACAATAATAACAACTGTAAATAGCAGTGCTCATTAAGCACTGCTGGCTTACTGCTTATTAGGTGGACTGATTGATTTGCTATCAAACCCATATAATATTCACAGCCTGTGTACTAAATAACCTATACAGAAACTAACCAAACATAAGCCCTGTTCATACCTTGTATTAAAGACCCCTTGCACTCAAATGTTTCTTTTTTTTAAATGATTAACTCCTCTTGTATGGCTAGCTATGGATATATACACTAACATTATCAATTGTGTCACTATAGTTCACAGTTTTTCATTGAAAACACAAACAAAAAAAAATGGTGCTACATAGCAGCTTAGTTTTGTACATCACGAAAGAGCTTAAACCTATCACGGTCCAGTATACTAACTGACGAAAGCCTCAAGAAGTAGCATAAGGCCAGTTTAAGCTGTGAACAAAGTAATCTGTAGTGGTCTGACATGAAATGCTCCGCTCTAGAGAGTCAGAATTGTTCACAGTGGTGGTGATAGGAACCAGATGTCCAAAGATTTTAATGCCTCTAAAAGCTCCCTAACAGGAAGGTATTACATGAAATGGATATAAACACGCTACCTGACATCTGAGATATTGTTTTATCATAGTTTTGTGATAAGATTTTGGCCTTAAACATATATGTTGTTTAAGTTCAGTCACTTTGGCAAAATAGTCCTGCAAGAAAACATACTTTTTCAGATTAATCACCATTTTACTATTATCAACATTACACAGATAAACTCAGAAGACACTCGTGTAGATTCACAAAATGGTCATTTTAAATGGCTATATTTGAGCTGTAGACATGGTGACGCCTGGTTCCTATCACTGCCAGTGTAAAGTAATCTGAGTTGGTGAGTTTATCCACAATGTAGCATCTCAGCATTAAAATGATAGATACTTTGAAAAACTGGTGAAATTCCCTTTAAATGCCATGTGTGAACGGGG